TTGTGTCAGGGGGACACGACAGAGTGGCTCGGTAAGAAACTGGATGTGTTTTTTATTTGTCTGGGTCAGTTTGTGGTGGATTAACCCTGAAAGTGATTTGCTGATATACTCTAGTCTACCCTATTACTGAAAATTAATTTTATTTCATGTAGTTAAAATACTGAAGAAATGTTTTAATGTAGTTTTACTATTTTTTTCAACACACATCATATTATCTGATGACTAAAGAGATGATGTCCTCTAATGTGACTCCTCTGATTAGAAGTATTCTCTTCCAGTTGTTTACCAGCTTGACAGAATATTCTTTATTTCTCACTTCTGAGGTATATTTTTCAAAAAAAAAAATCTCCTGCTAATTTAATGAAATGACCTGTATGAAATCACTACATAATTACTTTTATTTCTCACTGAGCTACAGGTCATAGAATCACGGAATAGTTTGGGTTGGAAGGGACCTTTAAAGTCATCTAGTCCAACTCCCCTGCAATGAGCAGGGACATGTTCAACAAGATCAGGTTGCTCAGAGCCCCGTCCAACCTGACCTTGAATGTTCCAGGGATGGGGCATCCACCACGTCTCTATGCAACCTGTACCAGTGTTTCACCACTCTCATTATAAAAATGTCTTCTTTTATCTGGTCTAAAGTTACCCTCCTTTAGTTTAAAACTGTTATCCCTTGTCCTGTTGCAACAGGCCCTGATAAAAAGTCTGTCCTCACATTTCTTACAAGTACTGAAGGGCCACAATAGGGTCTCCCCAGAGGAAACTCTTCTCCAGGCTGAACAGCCCCAACTCTCTCAGCCTTTCCTCGTAGGAGAGGTTCTTCAGCCCTCTGAGCACATTTGTGGCTTCTTCTGGAGCTGCACCCACAGGGACAGGTACTGAACTTCTTTAGGGTTCTTTTTATTAATAAAGCTTTTCTTTTCAGTCTGTGGGCAACAGATCACTATCAGCCACTACGGATATTTGCTGGCCATCTTGCTGATGTCACGTGTACCCGATTTCATCCGAATTCCAACTATATTGCCACAGGCTCAGCAGACAGGACTATACGGCTCTGGGATGTTTTGAATGGGAATTGTGTAAGAATATTCACTGGACATAAGGTAAAGCCATATCATTCAGTGTAAAAGAGATTTTACTTCTGTGATGAGATTCTAAACAATACTGTTTCAAACAAACACAGCGTGACTGACTGAATGTGAGTAGACTTAATTAACTTGTTTGGTTGCCCCTCAATGTCTATTTTAGGGACCAATTCATTCATTGGCATTTTCCCCTAATGGAAGATTCCTGGCTACTGGAGCAACAGATGGAAGAGTTCTGCTATGGGATATCGGACATGGCTTGATGGTTGGCGAATTGAAAGGGCACACTGACACCATCTACGCGCTCAGATTCAGTAGAGATGGGGAGATTTTAGCATCAGGTAAAATTCACCAGAAACAGTGAAGTTTCCATCGTGTTCCATAAGTCTGAACAGGAATGATATAATTGGTTCCTTAAATTGAGAAAGACAAAGAATCAATTGCTTAGCAAAAGCAGCAACTTAAAACTGCTGGTACAAAGGCTTCACTGAAATGTGACCCCTCACCCTTCCAGGAACGGAAGGTGTTATGCACTTAGATGATAGTGAAGGTTGTGAATCTGTACAGTGTTGGGGGTGGAATCTGCTGCAATAACCCTAGGGCAGACAAAAAGTGGCTGGACTAGAGAGGTGCAGGATACTGGAATGGGATGGGACTGGGAATGCAGAGGGACTAAAGAAAGAGGAAGGGATAGAAAGGAATATGAGTTATCCACACCCTTACTATTTCTTCATGGTAGATTTTTGATGTAGATATGGACATATAATATTAATGAACAGGCCTGTGAGCAGCAGAACTTGTGAAGCTTGCTTGTGTTTCCTTCCTGTCTACATGGGTTCTCTGGTGTCTAATATATTAGAGCTCCTTTGCCAGTTTTCCCTTCATGGAGGCACAAAGTTTTGTCTGTGTTCAGTGAACTTTTTTTAAAAAATGTGTAGTTCTTTCATGAATTTGAAACTTAGTCTGTTTTGTCAACTGCCTGAAATTAGCCAATAAGTTGAAGAAATGATGGACAGACACTAATTACATGAGGGTAATTTCCTCATGAAACCAGGCTAGGAATATTCTAGATTTGTTTAGTAATATGTTCCTAAATACAGTGCAGTGAGATTCCTCTGGGAGCTACTGCTGCAGGAGTGAAAGCAAACAGATAGGGTACAGGTTTGATCCAGCCTGCTTAGTGGTTATTCCAATTTATCTGCCAGTGCTCCAGTGAAAGCACAGGCCACTGAGCTTGCAAAATTCCACTGTATTCCCTATACCATACAAAGAAACTCTTATTATGTGACTTAAAATCATAAACTTTACCTGGATCACATCACCTACCACTGAAAAGGAGGACCAGCCCACAGGATGGTCCTGCTTTTTCAGTAGTAGGTGATTTGATCCAAACCCAGGTGTTTTGAGAGCAGTTCTTTTTGCTTTGTCTGCAGGACACCAGCTTAGACTACAGGAAAGCTGAAATCCTGGTAACTTTTATGTGTGTATGCAGTATGTTAGATGCTTGCTATAGTCTCTTGCTTTCAGAGCTTTTAGTTCTGTTAACATGCTCCCCAGCAACATTTTTATATACCATTTTATTAATAAAATACCTTTAAACTGTTGTGTGGTTTTTCTTTTTAGGTTCAATGGATAACACAGTTCGTCTGTGGGATGCTGTGAAGGCATTTGAAGATTTAGAAACTGATGACTTTACTACAGCCACTGGACACATAAACTTGCCTGAAAACTCACAGGACTTGTTACTGGGTACATACATGACCAAATCAACCCCAGTTGTTCATCTCCATTTCACACGCAGGAACCTGCTGCTGGCTGCGGGAGCCTACAGTTCACAGTAAATTGGGAGCTGAGATGGACTGTGCCAAGGCATTGCAGAACTGACCTCAGGATGTGAGACAAGGAGAAATGTCTTGTACAGAAGGATCCCCACGAGTCTGTTGCAGGGAAAATGGAACTGTGTAAATTAATGCAGGCGGCGTTTCTCAGTTCTGCTGTTTCATATTTATCTGCAGTTTGAAACTGCTGGAGATTGACAAGACATCATGGCTGTAAAAGAAGGAACTGTTCGTGGTGCTTTTGATACATATTTATGTATATATGAAATGAGCTGTCTCCTCTCAGAGATGGTACTGAGCTCTGCTGAAACTTGTGAAAAGTTAACAGCCTTGATGATTTTTTTAAAGCACTTAATTTATGGTTAGTAAATGTTTCATCAGTCTCAAACACAAGCAAAAACTGTCCAGTTTCAGGAAAGAAGACTGTAATTTGATTCACTATATCCTGTGCTGGGCAGCAGGTTTGGTGAGAGGATCACAGCAACAACCAGGGCGGAGCCGCTCTGACACTCCAATGCTTGTGGTCATGGAACAGCCGTGAAGCTCTGGGCACAGGTTTTATCAGCCAAGTGCTAAGTCCTGAAAAGATTTCGAACTCTTGTGCTCTTTTGAGGTGTCAGAAACACAGATCTTGTTACTCTGTTTTTCACAGGTAGCCAGTACTGTCAGTGTGACAAGCAACCAATGTGAACTTTATTTACTTTCATACTTTATTGAATGAGAAAATAAAAAGGGGGACTGATGCACAACTGAAATACTCACTATTAAAAAAGTGGACTTAAACCCTTTACTTTGTATTAGATCTAAAAGAACTTTAAAAACCTGTGTCCTTTCTACATAAGGTTTAACATAAAAAATGTAAGAAAGCTAAGAAATTGAAACAATATAGCATAGTGAAAGGATAAGTGTATGATCAGTTTGCTTTTGAAAGGCCAGCCTGTCTGCTTAAGTGACAGTTTCCACCCACAAAAGCATTGTACCACAGTGAGTCCTCCTGAGCAACCAGTAAAGCTCAGTGGTTTATTTCTAAAGAACAGTGAAACATGCAGAACACTGAGGAGTAGTGTCTGATTTTGAACAGAAACTGCCACCACTAAAGGCCAGGCCCAGTGTGGTGTGGGTTTGTTCTCATTTTCAATCTCTTACAGGATGTATGGAGGGAAATCTGTTGTGTGTTCCTCATCACTTCCCAGGAAGGGCTTGAACACGTAAACACTCTGCTGGCTCTCTAGTGAAAATAAAAACGTGTCATTTCTAAGGCCGAGTAAATGGAAAACTACCTCCCCTCTCATCTCTTCTCTGGCTCTAACTCTTGGAGTAAAGGTATTCTGCAGGCATTATACATCAAAATAAAGTGTGGAAAAGTCACTAGAAAGCTCACTTAGAAATTTTCTTTAAAGAAAAAAGGTTAAAATTAAATTATTATGATTTTATTTGTCTGATGGTATCTCAACAAAATTTCCTAGCTCTCAGTATAACCAGTTGGATTTAAGTACAATTTTTTGACAGCTTAAAGAAAACACTGCCACATTCTGCCTTTGTATTTTGTACAGTTTTATACTTTTGATATTACAATAAATACTAAAACCACATAGCTTGTGCCTGTATGTTACACGAAGATACTTTCTTCCCTTGATGGCTGTGATGGAAGCAAGAGCAGTGCTTGGAACTGTGAGCACTCTGCTAAGAGAAACAAAGTAACCAGAAATGGTTACATTGATGAGTAGCCATGTCATATAAATATTGTTGTAAAGGTGGGTTCTAGCTACTTTATTACGCTGTTACAACCACCATGATTCAGCCAGAACATGGAACACAGCTGAAGCCATCTGTGCAGCAAACATGCTCATAGGAAAGGAAAACTAGGTTTGTTCATCAGGGCCAGCACGTACAAATGGCTTTAAGAAAAAAAAAAGCCCTTGAACACTTCCTAGGTTACTGCTGGGAGCTCAGAACACCTTAAGTTTGCTGTTGTTGAAACACATCCTAAACAGTAGTGATAGGGATCAGCTGCTCCATCTCCACTACAAATAATTATTTTTGACAAGAAAAAAAAAGAGAAGTGCCACACATAAGCTTTTTTGCACCATTTCATATTTCCAATAAAACAAGTAATTATTTATATTTTATTAGCAGAACAGGCCATCAGCTTGCATTACAGTGACATAGATTGGAGGTTCAGACATGCCAGCAACCTGCCAAGAGAACAGAGATCAAACATAGCAAGTCTTGCACGGCGGTAACTGAGAATCCCCCTGCCCCAGGCCCAAACAATTTTAGTTACGAGCAAACAGATTTCAGCACACTCAGGAAGAAGTGACTGATGTCCCCTTAACACACAACAACAGTGCTCAAGCTTATCGTGTTATATCCCCTTTTGCAGGCTATGAGGACAGCCCATAGCTTGCATTTTGTCATGAAAATGCCATTTCAGTGGAAATCCTGTATTTGAAAGTGACTCCAAAATTTTGTAACACTGTGTTGTTGCTATACAAGTCCAGTCACTTCTGCATGAGCCTTGAATAATGAGGGGTGCAACATACACAGTTCCATCATACAGTGCTCCTTTACTTGGTTCAAAGAAAGGTTTTAACAGAATGCATTAATCTCTATTTGGAATTCTAATACAACCAAGAAGTAAGTCCTCAAGTACTACTTTATTATTTCAATAATCTATAAAGCAAGTTATCCCTATTTTACAGCAAAAGCACAGACCAGAAGCACCTAATAGTCATAGGCAGACCTCAATGCAAGATCCTTCCAGTCCTTCTTCCTTGCTTACTCTTCCTCCCTGCATCCTGCCCCAGTCCCATCTACCATGTCAGAAGAAAAAGATACATACTGGTATGCCATACTTTCTACACTCCCTATAATAGCTCACTTCATCCAGAATGCCCCCAAATAAGTAGATGCTATAGTTTATCTGAGGTTTAAAATTATAAATACTAAGTTCACATGCCTGTGTTTATCTCTCTCTCACTGCATTGTCTTATTGGCAACTTGTCCTTCATCACTTCTTCCTGAGCTGGCATTGAAGCATTTTGGTCCTGGAACAACATCAGCCACTTACCATTTACTTATCTGCCACAGCAGGAGTTTGCTTCTTAGGCCTAAACTTGAAATACAGGGCGATGAGTGCAACAGCTGAGTATGTTGCTATTACATACTGGAAAACAAAGTTAAATTTAGTTTCAGTCTAAATCCCAGAAAACACCATTATACTAGACTACAAAACTTAATGTACATATACATACATTCCTTCTGCCTATGATGGTATAGGAATTAAAGTACTTCTGAAATCCAGTGAACTGGTGTTGAGATCCCGAGTCATGGCCAGCCATGGCTGCTTGTCCTAACAAGCAATACAGGACAGTCAATTAATTTAAAGTCAGTTGGACAGGATAGGAAAATCAAATCCATCTCTACACTGAGCTTCCCCTTTCCACTGTCAGCTACTAAACCTGCTTTCAGGACACTCAACAAGCAGGGGACACACATAAAGGAGCAGGCACATCCAGAGCACTGTATTTTGAGGTACAAAACAGCTGACATGAGCAGATAAGCAAATGAGGGGTTCTGAAGGGAAGAACATTTATGATTTGCAGAGTTCATTCAATCAAGTTTAAACATGAAAAAAAAGCCAGGATGATGATTATAAAAGGGAAAATTCCTCAAAGCACTTATAAAGAAGAGACTTGCCAGTCCCGCCTACCAACCATTGAACTCAGATAAATTTCTACCAACTGTTCTGGAATCTGCAATACTCAACTAAGATCAATTCTTCACTAGTTCAGCTAAGAAACAGCTTCAATTACATACTCAAAAACTTGATAACAAGATGCAGGATAGACCACTACTCTGTTTTGTGATTCAAAATGCCATTTTGCAACTTTTACACCAAAGCAGAATGCAAGGATTGTTAACAAGAACTGCTCTGCTCTCAGTTGCGCACTTCTATTGCATCTTACTTGCCCATCCCAGCATAAAAACATTTTTTCCCCCAGGTTACTTTTCAGATCAGAAAATTACTTAAGCCAACTACAGAGCCTTAGAAGTGCTTTCACAGGAACACCAGATCCACTAAGAGGAGGGCAGACTTTTGTATTTTATCCGTGTCTGGACTAAAGTTTCAGATCTGCTCTAAGAAGTTCAGAAACACAAAAGCCTGGTGTGGCTGCAGCAGCAGCAAATTGCAGGTTCACTGGCACGTTCAGGTTGGCACCTCTGCAGATTGCACAGTCTACAGCAGGTCACCCAGGAACACATACAGTCAGGCTTTTAGCATCTTCAGAGATGGAGACTCCATAACTACTCAGGGGAACCCGTTCCCGTTAATGTTTAGAGATATGCTTTTCTTAAGAGACTTTTACGTATAGGACAAACACTTGTTTATTTTCTGACTCAGCGCAAGAGCATCACACACCCCCCACTTACCCGCCAAACCCGGCAGATGCCGCAGTCACCAGCACTCCCGAGGAAGACACAAGAAACTACACAGCCAATGCTGTGCTCACTAAAACAGCCCTTATGCATTATCTATCTCTTATCTAACATAATCCAGTAGTGTTACTTCTGGCGCATAACCAGGTAAAGGTAACTCGACTGACTATGCCATAGCTAAAAACCTTAATAAAACAGCCCCCTAAACGTTTGCCGCACACGACCTGGAAAGACTTTGGAGAGCCAAGGTCATCTTTTCTCCTGCCTGACCGATGTAAAAGCCTGGAAAGGCGCCGCTGCGCCCTTTCGAGGGCGAGAAAGCACCACACGGGCCCTATTTCCCGGAGGAGCCGGGTGCCCTTGCCCCGCTGCCCTGACCCCTGACAACGCCGGCTGCCCTGACACCCCCGACCTCACATTCGCCTCGGGCCGGGAAGCGACGAGGCGGCGCCGCGATATGGGGGAGGGACAGAGCCGCCGAGGGTCGCGGGTGCCCCAGAGACACCTTCGGCCCGGTTGCTGCCGAAGAAGCCGCCATCCCGCCCGCCGTACCGGACCGACCCCAGCCCCGGGGCGCCCGCGCCCCACGGTCCTCTGAGCGCTGCCCGCCGCCGTGCCCGCCTTCGGGGCCTGGCCCTTCGCCTGCGCCCTCCCACAAGATGGGCAGGCCGTGGGAGCGGCGCGGCGCAGCGCCCCACCCCGCGTCGATTGGCTGCAGCTCGTGCGAGGGAGCGGGTCGTCCCCGCCCCTTTTTCACTGAGGGGCAGTACGCCATCCCGTCCGACCTTTGCCCTTCGCCCTTTGCGTCTTATTCCCGCCGGCCCCTCCGCGTGCGCCTCCCGATCCCGGCGCCGATCCTGCTCCTCTCGCCCGGGCTTCCCCACGGGAGCGACCCGGGACAGGTAAGAGTGTCAGCTCTGCTCACTCCAGTGGGGCTCTGCTGCCGGCCGTGAGGAGCTGTCTGTGTTGCTTGGCGAGCCCTTAGGTGAAGCGTGCCTTGATGAACTGTAGTTTTGTCATGTGTTTTCACGTTTACAGGAGTTTTATATGTCTTACAGACAGCATAGTGTTTCAGCGCTGATTTCTGTAGAACTACTGTTGGTTAATAATAATGGTATAAATAATAGCATGAGCATAATAATAATAACAACAGTCTAAGTAGTAAATAAGAATAGCTGCAGCTATTACTGCTTACTGTTATTTATTATTAATAATAACGTGTTCATTGTGACCTGATAAATAAGATGTTGTTTACGGATTGAAACAGTAAGGTTAAACATCCATTGTGTACCTCTGCACATATACTTGCAGCTTGCACAAAGAGGTATCAAATTATATTAACCTTTATGAGTAGTATCCAAAAAGTAAAAATGCAGACCAAGTTTAAGTAGTGCTTTGCTCACAGCCTTCTCCTTGATGACTGAACCTCTTAATTTCAACTTGTCCACTGACTCTAATAAATATTGTTTTAGGAAATTTATGGTTAAAGCAGTCCTATGAATACATATTCAGTGCATCTAAATGCCTTAGAAATTAATACTTTAATACTTCAGTTTAGTAGAATTGGACAATAGTAAAAAGTGTTAGGGATGTGCATATTTAGATGGACTACTGTAATACTTCAGTTTAGTCAAATGTTAAATACATTTGGATAAGAGTTGCTGTTTTGTCACTGACTACTTGTGGAGCAGCCATCCAAAAACTTTCTTTGTTTGGGTATAGTGCACTCTTATGTCTCTTGGGTGTTTGTGAGGAACAATGTACCAACTGTACATTTCATCTCTGTTTTGCCATTTGTCCCATAGCAGTGCAAGGATGGCGTCTTTGGAAGAAAACTTTCCTCGAGGGGGTATCCAGAAAAAACCCGCAGAGAGAAAAACGTCCAAGCCAAAGTTAGAGCAGGACAATTTGTTTGATGTACGTTGTTTGCATGTTCTTGATTAACTTCTCAGAGCTCTTCTGCTGTCAGAATTTGACCTGCAATCCTTCCTACCTGTTATTTCTACAGTAAACTCTAGAAGGCACTCCCAGGAATAGATTGCTGCTGACATTCACCTTTCTCCTGATCTCTTTAAGATCCCTAATGTCTGATGGATGTTGAATGTGATGACAGAGAAATTTCAGTGAAAATTGTTGATCAGGCTTTAGCTTTTAAACTTTCCACAAGCATCTTATCCCAAAGTACTGTGTAGCGAGGCTGATGTTACTGGATATAGGCTAAATTTGGTCTTTCTCTTTCTGTTAGTAGAGTGTAGTGCAGATCATTTGTTTCCATTCCCAAGATTCACAGTTTTATAAATAATCAGCCTCAGTCCAAAGAAGATACTTTGTAAGACTTGCATGTAGACAGACATATAGCAGTTAGCAAGGCGGTTCTCTTTTTTCCTGTAGTCCTAGTATTTTCTTCTGATTTTATTCATGGCAGCAGAGTTCTGCCTTAGTGCAAAGTTTATATCTTTATCCGCTTTTATTTTCTCCCTCTCTGCTTATAAACTGCTAGGTTCACCATGAAGAAAAATCCCAGAAAAGAAAAAGGAGCCAAAAGGATCAAGGAAAGCAGAAAAAGTTCAAGGCAGACAAAACAGCCACCGCTAAAGACGATGTTGTGAATATTGGACCACTCACAATTCAGGTTGGTGCATAAGTTTTTGAATTTGCGTGCATCTCTTTTCTGGGCTGCATAAAAATGGCATTTTCTTCCTCCCTAAATCTGTAAAGTGTATCAGTGATTCCGTACAAAACCGTGTTTATCACCCTGTTATCACTGGCTTGCCAAGATGTCCATAGTGTGCCGTTCTTTCTGCTTTCCCAGGCGCTGTGTGAGGACATGCTTCTCCTTGGGTGTATAAAGGAGATCACTGACTACGAGCTGGTCATCAGTTTGCCCAATGGTCTTTCGGGATTTGTGCCGATCACGCAGATCAGCGATGCCTACAGCAAACTGCTGAGCCAGCAGGTGGCCCAAGGAGAACTCCCAGAGGTAAGACCTTGGGCTGGGGCTGTGATCTGTGCCCGGAGCTAAGGAGAGTTAATACCTCAGAACCAACCCTGAGGTCTTGCTCAGGAGTCTAATGTCTGGTCACCAGTCTCACAGCTGACTTGATTTTGATCACCTGCAGCCCTTAGCATTGGCTAAATAATCCTTGAGCTTTGTAAAAAGCCTGTTGAACATAAAGAGATTTTTTTTGTTACCTCTCTGCTGCTGAAGCTAAATACTGATCCCTGGCTGAAGGCAACAATGGGAAGAAGTTAGGGAGTTGATTGGAAAATGATGTGAGGGTGGAAGCATTTCTCAGGGGCCCGGGGAAGAACACGGTCCTTGCAGTTTAGTTGTGTGTTGGCACGTGCCATGTGCTGCTGCGTGGTGCTAACATAGGCTGACCTTGTTTTGGAACCTGCTTTTCCAAGCTAACTTTGCAATGATCCTGATAATGACTGATTGCTAGAAAGAAAAAGGATGGAGTAATCTGTTACCCTGTCTCTGGTGTCAGCGGTCCATAAGTTTTCCCAAGGTGTTTTGGATGTGGGATCTGCACTACCGTGTTGATGGTGGTGTTTTTCTCTGCTAAAGAGGGAGATGAGAGTAGGGTCACTGTAAGCATTGGAGATGTTTCCTCAGCTGCAGTCTCCTGAACTCCAGTGTTCGTTTTTAAGCAAAGCCTGTCAGTCTTGCTGACATAACACAGTGTCATCCCTGCCTCTCTGTTGAGATCCTGCCGTTTGTGGCATTTCCTGCTTTTTATTGTAGCGTTGACAGAGAAACAGGACTTTCCTAATGGATTTTGTTTTCAAAAGCTACTTCAGTAACAAATTCTGGCCTTATATTATTTGATATTGTAAAATTTGTATGTTTCTCTCTTGATCATCTTGCTGGGCAGGGCTTGAATTCGCTCTCGGACGTGTATTCCCCAG